GAGGCAGCAGCGAGTTGGTATATTCGAATCAAGAATATTTATTGCAACGAGTGACCGACCCCACTATCGATTAAGCCCTAGAAAAAATGTTACAATTGATTTTAAACTAATTTTTCGATTTACTTTTCACTCACAAAAACCTTAATAACTCCTCGCCCAGAAGCCGGCAGCAGATAGACAAGGCAGATTTGGAATCAGCGTTTCAAGCTCTATTAGATGATGTACAACTCAATTCAAAAGGCCACTTCGACCCCCTTCCTTCCCTTGTAAGATATTATTTGGTAGCATCAAATAGTTGACTAGACCGAATCAGAGATTTCAACCATTTGACAGTATGCAAATTTTCTAAGTAAAAAAGTTTATAACTTCCTCCAGAAGATGGTTGCACAGATAAATCTTAGATCTAGAATCAGCGTTTTGAGGCACATCTTTTGGTATACATCTCTTTTCGAATGGCCATTGTCACCAAGTTTCTTTCCTTGTGAGATGTCTTTTGGGGGAGGGGCGGGTGAAGAGCACAATTGCACGCTAATATGTGCATATCCTCAAATCAACGCCCCAGCGAGGAATCGGACTCCCACGGCTTTCACTTGCACAAGCTGAGGCAGTTCAAAATCTATTTTCTATGTACTACTGTAAACTTTTTTCATTGGGAACACACATAAAACAAAATGACACAATGCTGGTGCGTAGGCGCGAAAGAGCGAACAAACAAAATATGAAGAATGATGAGAACACTCATATGAATGAAAGACAAGCACAGCTTTTTGAGGCGACACCTGCCATTCCTTGCTTTACCTGAGGTGGAAATTTTCAATGTTTCCCAAGTATTTACCTGATTTGATCTAGATCAAAAGTTTAAAAGAAGCAATGGAAAGTAACGCTACTTACCTTGCCTCTTGGCTAGTGAATGGGATAGAATCGAAAAGCTACCAAGCGTTCTCTTCGGTATAACGGTGAGGGAAACAACGTTGTTACAAACGGTTATTTTGGGTAAATTAAGGTAAGAGAAGATAGTTCGAGATATAGCGCCCTAGAATGCCGTAGTATTATGTAAGAACTTTTCTAGCTGTATAGCAGTTCTTTACCATAGAGTTCAGATGTATGTACTGGTGAACTAAAACGAGAAAGAGAACTGAGTACAATTTTTCTGCCCTCTATTTGTGTGAGCGTCTGGCGCTCTGTTCGCTTACCTCTCTCGACGTTCTCTACATACTTATACACCTTGAATACGTATCTATCAACACCGTTTGTTCCCGCGTTCTGAACGGCAGAAAAAGTCCCATGAGTCAGTCTGTCAGAAAGCTGCCAATCCGTGCCAAACTCATGATGCGCAAGCAAAAAAGTGAAAAATGCGACCTTTGAAGAATGTGACAAGGTCAAGAGTAATTATTCAGTTGCGAAGAGAGATGTAAAAGAACACGAGCAAGCTCAGCAAGCTCATAAGTTATGCGTCCGTTACTGAGCGGTTTTCTCCAGCTTCAGTCGTTTCAGTTCCTTCCAAACATCTCAGTGTCTTGAAGCCTTCGTCTAATTGAGCAGAATTCCTAAATCTACGGCCTTATATTTCGCCATGTTCCGATATATAAGCGTCTAGAACAGAAACTTGGTGAATCTAATAAGAAGCCAGGGGCGTTACATTCGAATGGAAAGTCACACGCATGAATTGAAATCAACAAATTTCACTCCATCTCTCCTTCCTGTCGAACCACATACTTCTCAGCTCCGCTCGCTTTGTTCTCTTCTCCTCTCTTCTTTTCGATCCCGTCGCGTGCTTTCTGTTCACCAGCAACTTACAACGATTAGAGCTCACAAACTTCAAAAAACTCTCGAAAGCGAACGCCGCGAAAGAGAGCGTTGCCTCTGAAATTCGTTAGCGTTTTTTCTCGAAGTCTTGCATTCAAATCGCTAAAATGCGTGCAAAAGCGGATGAAAGCATATTTCGCTGTCAGTTGCTTGGTATCTCACCTGCCTCCGCTTCCGCAACAAATTTCGACGCCTTCTGGAAAGTGTAGCAGACATGGGTATGTATGTCTACTTGGATAGTATTAATGGCCAGCGAATAGTGTTCTATTCAGGAGTCTACGCTCTGCAAGGACAGAAAGTCGTTGTGTTCATCTGCGTAATATTTGTTGTACTTGTGTTTGTTTTGATCGCTGTTGGATGTAAGTCACGTCTTCTCACGAGAGTTCGGTTGCATTGCAAATATATCGAGGAAGATATGCTCGTCTCATAGATTTCGCTGAAATTGTGAAGTAGTAGTTGTAAACACGCTGCGATCGACTACATGATTCCCACAAATTGCAAGATGATGGAACTGCCCCCCCATAGAAGGCCAGTAAAACCCTCGAGGCCGAATTTGCCTTGGATGCGCCCCTCCCTATCATGTATTCATGTCTTTTCGCTTTGAGAATGACTACACTGGCATCGTATGCCATATCCCTCGCTTCATTCATAGCTGATAAGGCGGCAACGAATATTGCATCCTCCACTACTCCTCAAATTGAACTGCTCAACTCCTGCACACTTACAACCACCAGCAGACAATGTCTGCGCGGAACTCGATCGTCTCACTGTCGTCTGCGAGCTCGGCGAAGGTCGAAACGCGCCTGGCCGAGTTGCCCTCGCAGACGTCGCTGTCCTCGCACGGCTTCGGACAGGAAGGCCCGATGCTGCCCAGTAGCAGTAGCAAGGACGACGATCTGCTCAGCTCGTCTAGCGACGAGATTGAGAACATGGCCATGAGAGCGCTAGAACACTTAGAAGAGGTGCTTAATCACCCTGTACTTTATCCTCGTATCTTCCTCACTTAAGTTGATGTATGTTCTCCTCAGAATAGAACCACGGCACTCCCTCATCACGCTGAGCTAGATGGGACACAAAAGGAGGATAAGGCTAAATCTGACAAAGAGGAAATTAAACAAGAAGAGCAAGGTAGCTTTCAAGCAGTTTGCAACACTACCCATACTTTTCATCTCGTTGACAATCTGCGCACGACGTTATTATTTTTGTGCACCTCTTAATGCTTCAACTTTTCCCGTTCATTTGCTAAGGATTTTGGCTTAACGAAAGTGATTCAAATCTTTTTATGCTCCACTCGAACACCTACTTAGATTATGGAAGCTCGCAAATTTTGCCTGATTTGTCAAACAGCTGCTCCTTGAGACAGAAAAGTACATGGTTGTCTAAAGCGATTTGCTCGTCTGAGTTGCGTCTGTAATGCTCTGAACGCTATTGGAATCCAAATGCTCTTACC